GAATATTACAAGATTTTAAAGCTTTAGTTAGTGCATCATGATGAGGATGCCCTAACCGCAAGTGCCATTGTTTGTAAACTGTGGGAACAACCCCTTTACATGTTTCAGACAGAAAAATACAAGGTTTAGAAACACTGGAAATAGAATTTTCTGGAATATCATCTTTTGGTGATTCACTTTTTGCTAAAGATGGATGAAACCGATAAAGCCCATCTTCACCAAGTTTTCCTTCAAGAAGAGTCTCGTTCAAATCCTGTGATTTGACAACACAATAGTGAGGATAGAATACAAAGTAGACATTATTGTCTTTGGCAAATTTGGAAACACTCATCAGATTTTTGGTTAAATTGGGAACAAGGAGAAGATCTTTTAAGGACAAAAGAGTAGAGGAACGAATAGGGGACCGAAACACATTAGAACCAATTGAGGTAATGGATGTACCTTGGCCATTAGCCATAACAATGTGCTCAGCTCCAGTAAATTGAGCACTTTGAAGTAAATGTTGTGGATCGGGAGTAGCATGGTGTGATGCTCCTGAATCAGGAATCCAAGCTGTGGCTGTGTTCAGGACAGGAACAGGTCGTTGTGAAGAAGAGGCAGAGTTTGAACGAGCTTGCTGAGTGGCAGATGGAGTAGCTTGAAATGCAAAACCAGGTGGTATGAAGCCAGAATTGGGAAAAATCGACCCAAAAGAGCCACCTGATGCATATGTAGGCCACTGTGATGATCCTGGATGTCCAAAAGCATTAGGAGATCCAGAAAAAGGTTGAATTCCAGTATTAGGAAGAAAGCCAAAATTGTGAGAGCCATAGCCGGTTTGAGGTCCAAGACCAAAGCCAAAATTCTGAGGAGCATAACCATTTGGAGATCCAAATCCAAAAGAAGTGTAAGGAGAAACATTGGGACCAAATCGTTGATAGCAAGTTGAAGCTTCATGTCCTCTTTTATGACAAATCTGACACTGAATTGATGATCCACGGTTTCTGCCACCACGTGAACCACCACGACCACGTCCTCCATCACGGATTTGACCAGACAAACCCGTATTGTAGCCACCCTGAGAATCAAAAGCTGGGTTCTGAAACATATTCTGCTGAGCGCTTGGCATTTGGGACTGCTGAAATGCCAGATTCGCACTTGGAGTTCCATTGACAGCTGAGGTAGTTTGAGCCAAATTTATTGTCAAAGGTTCTTGAATTACAGATGTTTTGACTTGTTCCAACCGCGCTTCTTGAGCAAGGATCATAGTTTCAATTTCACCAGGGGAGAGGGCATCATCACGACTGACAAACGCTGTGATTGTGGAGATTAACGAATCATAGTCACTTGGAAGACCTCCAAGAATGCATTCAGCATGCTCTCTGGGAGAAACAGGACTTCCAATTGAGGCAAGAATTTCAACTATAGTGCTTATTCGAAGGAGATACTCAGAACAGGTCCTGGTACCTTTCTTGATGGTACGAAGTTCAAGTCGGAGCTGTGTGGCTTTAATTTTGGTGAGAGAGTGAAAATGCTGAAACACCATATCCCAAACCTGGTATGAATGACGACAGGAGACCACTCTTGCTTGAATGGAATCAGACAGGGTAGTCAAAAGCCAAGAGAATAGAAGAGAGTCCTTGCGATCCCACGTGGTGTATTCAGGGTTAACATTATTTGCATCACGGTCTTCACTGGTGAGGAATTTCATCGGAATTTTCGGATTAACAACAAACCGCTCAAGGTCATGAGCACGAATTACAGCCGTGACCTGTTGCTGCCAGGTCATGAAATTTTTCTCATCAAGTTTACAGGTGACACTTTGAGAAAAAGTGTGCGAGACAGTTGAGGAAGCCTGAGTAGAAGCGGAAGCCATTTGAACAAACGAAACAGAGATGGAGACAAACGCGCAAGAATCTTCAAGAATCAACAAAGAACAGAGACAACGAAGAGAGCAAAAGAGACGCTACGAACCAGAAAATATCACAATAGAAGTTTGCGAAACTGAGCAAAAACAGCGAACACTAAACCAGCCAAACGCGACACGATCAAGCAAGAACGGCACAATCAGAACAAGGAATCAGCCAAACACGACGAAAGAGCGTCAAAGAAACGATTCTGAACACAGAAAAAGAAGACGACACAAACGCCCAAGGTTTGCCGTCAGAAACGATGAACTAACAAAAAAAAAAAATTGCAATCAATTGCAGTCGTAGCGCGATGCGGAAGCAGGTACGAAGAACAACAAATCATCGTATGTAAGAAGACTATACAGTAGAGTCGAGGACAAAGAAGAAGAAGAAAAATACTTCCCGGACCCTAGCTCACGATGATACCATATGAGAGAGAGAGATATGAGAGAGAGTTTCAGAGAATTCAGTGAATTGTATTATTGATGAATGAAAAGATAAAAGCAAAGATTACAATAAGCGTATATATAAACATAACCAACTTCTAACTAACTATGACAGTTAACTAACTTCAATACACTTAATAAAGGTGTTTATTATTCTATTCTCTAATAGTGATAGGGACCCTACTTTCATGAGCCATTTTTGACAAGAATTGTTCAGACTTCAGGGCACCCAACTGAAAATGTCTACAGCATACCATCTAGAAACCGACGGACAAACGAAAGTTTTAAATAGGACGCTTGAGACTTATCTACGATGTTTTGGCTTTGAACAATCGAGAGTTTGGGCTAATTTTATTCCTTGGGAAATACCAATTTTCAGGCATCAACACAATGTACACTGTTTGAAGTAGTTTACGGTAGACCACCACCATCCTTGGCAAGGTTTAACCCGGGGGAAACACTTGTAGAGGTTGTGGCACAGGATCTTAAAGATAGAGATAAAGCTCTAACACAACTGGAGTTCCACTTAAAGTGTGCTCAAGATCAAATGATTCATTACGCGAATGTACATAGGAAACCAATGGAGTTTCAGCTAGGGGACTATGTCTATTTGAAGGTCAGACCGCATAGACAAACCTCCATGTCGACCAAATTGCACCCCGAGCTCTCAGCTAGATATTACAGGCCCTACCAAATCCTCAAAAAGATTGGAGCTATGGCATATCAATTGCGGTTACCAGTAGAAGCACAAATACACTCAGTATTCCATGTCTTTCAACTTAAGAATGCTTTGGGCAACCACAAGGTGGAAGCAAATATACCAACAGTGTTACAAGTTCCACAGGAGCCTTATCAACCTAGTAAAGTGCTGGGTAGCAGAGTGATTACCCAAAATGAGACTAGAATACCTCAAGTTCTCATTTGCTGGCAAGGAAAAACACCTGAAGATGCGACATGGGAAGATGCAGCCACCATTCAGACTCAGTTTCCAGATTTTCACCTTGAGGACAAGGTGGTTTCAGAGGGGGGAGGTGTTTTTAGACATCAAGAACCACAAGATATAAATAGAAGGTTAAAAGTACATTATAGGAAGAGGGGTACAAATAGGAATTAAACCTATTTTATCCTTTGACCTATTAGTTAGGTTTTCGGTAACAATTAGTTAGTTCCAGCTTTCTTTAAATAAGTCCTCTGTTTAGGGTGAGGGGGATTATTCATTGATGTTGATAGTTACCAACTGGACAGATTCCAGTGTGAAAGGAGTAGTCTCCTTTGTATGTTTTCTAAAAATTCAATAAACTCATGGACGAATAATGCCCTTTTCCTTTCTGTCATCTCTGAAAACCTAACAATATTAAATTTCTAACTTAGAGAGAGAGAGAAATCCAGAGACAGAAATTTTACTGAATCTGATTTATTTCATATCTGAATGGAATACAAAAAACCCTATATTTATAATAGGGAAAGTACATAGTTCAGTTGAAACTGTACTCTAACAGAAAACTAACAGAAAGGAAGGAAAATTACAGAAAACCCATTAAAGGCTATCTTAACACATATATTCTAACACAGGCAGCAGAAGCAGGGAAACACAAACGTGTCATAAAATCATTTTATAAAAATCCTAAAGGTCAGGCACAGCAGCTACAAGGGCTTATCAAAATGAAATTTTTAAAAATGAATAAAAGGAAAAAAAAAACTAGGAGGCACATAATATTTGGCCAAACAAAGAAAAAAGGAAACATGTAAACAAAGGCTAAAATTTGCAAAGAAGTTTACTCTATTTGCCTGTCTGAAATGAATATTCCCTTTCTAGAGAAACAACAGCCAAGCATTATTCCACAAGGTGGGTAAGCTACATTGATCAAAGTAAAAAAAAAAAAAAAAAAAACCTCTAGGTTCTATCAAAACCAATTTTCTGTAAATACATTTCAAGCAAGATTTTTTAAACAGTTTCTCCTGAAGTCTCCCTCTGCTGGTCTTCTCATTGAAGCTTTTGTTGGTCTTCTCCTCACATGGCCAAGCCACTATAAGCAAGTTTCTGTAATCTTCCCCTCCAACTTTATTCCAAATACATTCATTCTTTATTTTTCTTTTATCATATGGATCACTCACTCAACAACTGCAGCAACCATAATCACAAATAGACAGAGGCCGCAAAACACAATCCTGTGTTTTCTTCTGATTTATGACAAGTACAAGTCCTTTCTTCACTCTGACTACCAGTTAACTGAGTAAATTAAGGCTTATTTTTCCCCCCCTTAGAATTTGTCATCATACAATCAAGAGCCAAAGAATCACATCATAAATTAGCAGCAAGTCTAGCAGTGAATAACGATGGCCATAGTACAATTGCACAAGTAAAAAGAAAGATAGAAAGAAACTAATACAATCAATGGCAATATCCTATAGCAGAAAGGAAACAGAAAACAACACATCTGTTAGCCATTGTCAACATAACTTGAAAAGAATAAATAAAATTAAACTGACAAGCAGAATAGGTGGTACACCAGAGATAGAAATAAGTAAAATGTAAAGCAATATTGCAACATCTCCTAAATGAGGGCCATACATTAAAATTTAATTTACATGTATTCTTAAGCTAATATTTTCAGCAGTATCATCAAAACATTATTTAATAAATGAAAATTTCTGAAGGACTTACATGAATCATCTCTGTTATTTCAGCTATGCGTTGCTGTCTTGTACGTACATCACTTGTCAAAGCACCTCCTAAATCTATAGGAGGAGGTCCTTCGTGTATCGGTAGATTTAATGCTGTTGACATTAACAATAAAACCTGCAGAAACATTGGCTCATTAACCCAAATCCTATATGTGAAAGAATGAAACAAGATTAACAATGAATAATACACAGGAACAAAGACATAAAATAATAAAATATACATTTTATCACATGGATCACTCACTCATCAGAGTAACAGTAAAGCTATCACTATCAGAGTAAATGAGCATCATGAAATGAAGACATGAAGCTAGGAAGGCCTCCTGATCCCAGAAATATCAGAACAAGTAATATGTATGCTGGAATAGTAGCTGTATCATAAAAAAATCCTTGTCCCTAACATAGCCCAATCCACTAAGGCCTAAGGGAACCTTGTATTTTCCAAGGTGTCCACTAAAGGTGAATTCAGAAGAGTTTATTTACAGCACATTTAGACTTATTTTATGACATAAGCAACAAGGTTGTCAAAAATCGGTTATAACGGGGTTATAACGGAAAAACGGAACGGTTTGAGCTGAAACTGCCATTCGCCATCCGTTATATGAAGCTTTATGGCGGTTTCCACCATTTCCGATATGGCGGCCGCCATGGTCATGGCGCCGTGAAGGTTTATAACGGGCATGGCGGTCATGACGGTTTTTTTTTTTTAAAAAACCTATTTTTGGGCTTTGAAACAGGCCCAAATGGAGTGAGCCCTAGGTTAGTGCTTGTCTCCGCGTCTCATCTCTCTTCTCCCTCACAGTCGCGACTCTTTGCACCTCAAGAGGAGCTCATGCCCTAAGCATCTCCGGTGACCTTCGTTCCCTGCAACGCGACACTTACGGCACTTACGCAGTACTCCGGCCACCTGAAACGCGGCAACTGCGGCAGTGCTCCGATATGAAGATTATTGGCTAATAATGACAAGCCTAGATAACCTGCACATCACACTAGGAAGACATGTCCAAATAATGTAGAATTATAATAGTTTATAAGTGACATAGTGCATTAAAAGTAAAAAATGATAACATTAAGATAGAGTGAATTATATAAGTTTTTTAATCTCCGTAATGGTGTCCAGTTCCACAACGAGGACAACGTTTGTTACGACCTAAATTACGCCATGGAGGTTGTTGCTCAAAAGGATTTGGTTCATCATCAAGCACTGGTTGTTGAAATGCTGCTGAAGAACTACCAGGTTCATTAGCGAATTTTGGTTGGTAAAGAGATTGCATTGTAAAGGGAAATAATAAAAAGTCATAAAATTTGTACAGTTGTATTAATTATTAGTTTTCCTTATTTTTAACAGTTGTAATTGTGTCTATATAAGGCACTTTATTCATCTCTTGTAATACGTTCTATTAAGTATCAATATAGAAAAATACTTTTCTCTATTTTCTCTCCTCCAAATAAATTTGTAAAAAAATCCTCTGAAGTTGTTGCAAACGAATGCCTTTTGTCAATTATGTTTTCTTGTGGAGTGATGTTGTGTGGAAGATTTGATACATGCTGATGAGTCTCTTCATACGATCGCATGGAAGTTGTGCCAGTTTCAAATGTTATAGAAGTCCTTCGTTGTTGATAGGTCCTTGGATCTTGTAGTAGTCGTGGCACAGATAGGAAATAGATAGAATTGACCATGTACCATTCCATGTATTCTCGTGTTTGAAACAATGGGTCTTGCATTGGATGACCCATCAATGTGTGCTCACGTCTATTGTTCCATATGTCGGCCCATTAGAAGTGGCCAGAATGGTCCGTTTCGGATTCAGAACGGCCCGTTCTGGTTCCACTTTTCATGTGTTAAATTTGAATTTGAAACGTGTCGTTCTGAATTCAGAACGACCAATTCTGATTCATTTGTCATGTGTTATTTTTACATCTGGAACGACCCGTTCTGATATCAGAATGACTCGTTCTAAACGTGAACAGTAAACAATACTAGTGGTGTAAATAAATTTGCACAATTGCTATTTGGGTAATTTTTTTAAAAAAGTATTATTTCAGTAAAAAAGTCGGAAAAGTCAGCATTACTCAAAAATATAATAAATCAGATGAAATGTGAAAATAATACATATCATCTATAAGATGAAAGAAATTAGATGAAGCATACAGTTCGTCTAACTTACATTAAATGAATAAGATTGACATTGCATTTTCTTTAATGTATTATTTCTTAATCTTAGAAGCATGCATCAGGCAAGGGATTGAGGGCCAATCCTACTACCCAACAATTATTCCCACACCCCTGAGCGAGGTTTCTCACTCCCCCCTTACCTGTTCTTGTGGAGTGATGTTGTGTGGAAGATTTGATACATGCTGATGAGTCTCTTCATACGATCGCATGGAAGTTGTGCCAGTTTCAAATGTTATAGAAGTCCTTCGTTGTTGATAGGTCCTTGGATCTTGTAGTCACCGCCATAGACCGTTATCCGCCATCGATAACCTTGATAAGCAATTGTGCAAGTGTTTGGGAGAACTTAGGAGAATAGCTTATGATATGTCCATAAGATGTGTTAGCTTATTTCAGTAAACTTTCTAAGGTAACTTTAGAAAACAACTTGCAACTTAAATGACAACAGTCTAATCCTATTTCCTCTTAGATTATAAAAACAACTTGTACATAAGCTCTTATATGAAAAGCACTTGTTCAATTAGCACTTAATTAAGCTATTTACCCAAAAACACCCTTAAAGCATGTATCAGCTGTCAATGATCATATTTAACAGAATTGGATAAACCAGAGCTTGTGATAGAACAGAGGAAATGAGTTAGTATGAATAGATGTGTTAGCTTCCTAGTATTACTTTTAAAAGGCAACATGAAAGGTAAGTGATGATGATCAATATATTCACAACTTTCCAAGGATAAGTTTTTGGTAGTTTAGTTCCTCCTACAACGATAATTGATGTTCAATTATCAATCCAAAGAAAAGCATTGCTGCAGAAGCATAAAACATTGCTGCAAAAGCATACAAGAACATGACAAGACATTGAGAATATGCTTACTGTTGGGCGAAATCTTTTTCCTTCCACCCCCATTTTGAAGAAGTATTCAGCAGCTGAGGCAAGCTTAGGAACCTGTTACATAATACCCAATTCTCACTGTCAATTAGACCAGATTTCTAAGCAGCAAATGACTCAGGACTGAGCTGTTGATTATTAAAAAGTAAATGAAGAACAATCTGATACCTCAGCAACAACCATTGCTCTCAGCTTGTTACCAAGAAGTGATAGTTCATCAGCAACCAGTGAGAATGGATCATGTTCATCCTGAGAACAGTACAACGTCATAATGGAGAACTGGGTATGGACAAATAATTGAAAAACACATATAAGAGTCTTCAATGAAATCTTTTATTTTATAAAGGGTGTACTTGATTGTGTTTTTGCTTTTTAGTTTTTAAAAAATATTTATAAAACAGTTTTCAAAAAACTAATTTTTAGAGAGTAGGAGTAGAGGAAGATACGAAAGTGTGCAGAAAAATGAGTAATAGAAAACCAAAACAACTTAAAATTGTTCTTTTTTATTTTAAAAAATAAACCATAGAAATTAGTGTTCAAGACAGTTATCAGAAACTACTATTATCAAACAGGTTTTTTCTTTATTTTTTTATTTTTTATTTTAAAAACAGAAAATAGTTTTTAAAAGTGGAAACAAACAGACCCAAATCTATCAGTACTAGTAAAAAAACAACCTAAGAACAGTTTAGGAATAACTCAATGAATAAATAATGAAATTAATATTTCTTATAATCATTGTTGTTAATCACGTGCTATAGTGCTGCTATCGCATAGCAGCCTAGGTTGCAACTGATTTGAGATTGCATTGCATTTTCATATGCTGGCTATCATAGCACTGTAAATTGAGTGATTTCGCAGCACTAGCAGTTGCAACTTTGATTAAAGGTTGAAAACCCCATGTTTATTTTTTAGGTCATTGTAGTTCAAATAATCTGTGTTTTTTAGCTGGTACACTATTTTTATTTTTTACTCATTGTCATGTCAGTTTGTCACGTCAGCTAATTCATTAAATATTGGATGGAATTAGGATGGAGGGAACTGATTATAAAAAAGAGAAAACTTAAGGGACTTAATTGGCACAATTGGAAACCAAGGGACCAAAATTGCTCAATCACAGTGCCTAAAGGACTAAAAATGCAACTAAGCCATGTAAAAATGATATAATTTAAAAGTATAGAAGCAGAAACAACGAATGGGAAACAGGGATTCTGACCAGTGAACAGAATAACGAGGTGTAACCAAGAAAGAACACAGAAATTAACCTCAACTATGGAGCTGCTTTGATGATGGACTAGATATCTACTACTATGCAACGCTGGCAGGCTCTTTGAAAAAATTAAACTTCTCATAACCTGCATCACACAAGAACCGTGTACAAGTAAAATTCAGTGTTGCAAAACATTTTTCTTCAGATAAAAGGTGATGTTATGAGAATGATAGAAGAAAGCAGAAGATGATGTAATGAGAATGAGAGAAGAGTACATAACTGAAGGACAGAAGTAGGATATAAATTTCTTTAGAAAAATTGATAAGAAAATGAACCAAAGAGAAACACAGCCACAATTAAATGCCTGATTGGATAGTAACGCCAACATACATTCAGCCAATGGAGAAAACATCTCCTTAACCAAATAGTCTCTTGGAAATAGATCAAAATGTAATTTGGTCGTTAACCAATCAGACCCTAAACCAAAAATACAATAGAGATCTCTAGTTCCTCAAAATCTACCAAAGAAAAACTCCTCAAAGAAACCATCTACCAGGCATAAATCTTCATCACTTATAAATTACACTATTTGACACAAACAAAACCGTTAATCACTAAAATACACACTTTCAGCACAAGCATGGCAGCTCAATGACCACAAAACAGCTTCCACGGGCTGCACCATTCACAATTCACCACAACCCAAATGTTAAAACATTGCAGCAGCAACAACAACCACCGAACTATAAGTGCTTCCCTTCTAATTCGCAACCAAGACCAGACAGCGTTATTAAAACTCAGAACCAAACACGAGCCGTTATAACTCCAAACATCTGGCAGGCACTTCGATCATGCTTATCATTATCAATAGAATTCCGAAAGCAGCGATCCCGCACGCCACATTGCTGAAACCGTTCCAATTGACAGAAAAGGGGCGAAAGCAAAAGCAACAAAGTTTGAGACCTTAAATCGGACTACTACTACAACAAACGAGGATCCCAGACATCGTATTGAGTAAAACGACAGAGAGCAAAAGCTGAAAGGGGAAGAGGGAGCACCTGTCGGATAGAGTCTCCACGTGAATGGAACTTGTGCGGGAAAAGAAAGCGGTGGTTGTGGTCTCCAGTGGAGAGAAACCACCGACATGAGTGGAAGCCGCCTCTGAGATTTTTTGAAACCCGAGAAAATAGCATCGTCGCAAGTTAAGACTTTGCGGCAGCGAAGGAAAAGTGGAATGGCCAAATGAGAAAGACGCACAAACAATTAAACCAAACTCCTTTGGCAAGGAACCATCTATGAATTAATTTAGTGACGACGGCGAAGCACAACCATATGATCCGCATTTTACCAATTTCCTTGTTGACTAATAAATACTAATTTTTTTAGGCTTGCCAAGGCGAGTCCGAGTTGCGTGCCGTTCCGGACCTTGTACCTGCTCCAAAGGGTTAATTTTGTGTGTGGTTATATTTTGGGTTTAATTACCTATTTAGTATTTGTATTTGTATTATTTGGTTTAATAAATCAATAATTTTTATAAATATTAAAAAAATTATTGAAGACTCTAAACTTTTAAAAAATTATAAATAATTTGCGATAATTTTAAATCTTCGTAAAATAACCATTTGTGACATTTTTCTTAATTCTAATGATCAAATTAACAAAATTGTAAAATGTTAAGAACTCAACTATAATTTTTTTTAATTTAAGAATTTAATTATATATCCTCTCAAAAAGTTTAAGGTCATATTAATAGTATTAAATTGTATTATTTGTATATGTTATTACTTTTATTTGGATATTAGACTTTTTAGTCGTTATTGGTTCACTTTTTATTATCTTTTGGTTCATACTTATAAGCGTGTTTTAATTTGTTTAGTAAAATTATCATAAATTTTATGATAATTGATAAATATAGTAAATTATCAATTTATCAATAAATTTGTGATAATCAAGAGATTTGTGGTGATTAAACACATTTAATTTGGTTTTTTTTTTTTGGAGATTTTATATAACACAATTAAGACATATTTAATTACAAGGATTAAAATGAAATTAAAAGTGTATATAATTTCATATTTAAAAGTTGTTTAGTCATTAAAGAAAAACAAATTTTCTCATTCCGAAAGTAGTTTGGTAATTAGACTTTTATATTAGTAGAATAAAAGAATTATTTATATATTATGTTGTATTGATTGCATCATTAATAAAGGGATAACATAATACATTCTTAAAATATTAAAAAGTCATTCTCTCCTTTAATATGAGTTGGTAATTTGATATTTGGTTTTTATTAATGCACGGTATTTGTGTTGTATATATTGGAAATTAATTGACTAATTTGAAATATGTTTATATCTAAAAGTTATTTAGTAACTAAAGCAACAATTTTTCCACTCATTATAAGGATACTTTGGTAATTAGACTTTTATATTAGTGAAATAAAAGAGTGATTAATTTACATGTGATTGTGTTGTATTTATTGCAACATTAAGGGATAACAAAATAATTTCTTAAAAAGTTAAAACAAAAAAAAAACTCTCTTCTTTATTATAATATAGTAACTTGACTTTTTATTAATTTATAAATATTTGTCAATAAAAAAAATGTGTTGTATTTGTTGGACAATAATTGATCAATTAACAAATATCTTTACATCTAAAAATTATTAGCATTTAAAGGAATAATTTTTTTACTCTCAAGAGTAGTTTGTTGATTAGACTTTCATATTAGTGAAATAAAATAATAATTTAAATATAGTTATATTTTATTTATTACATCATTAAAGGATAACATAACATAGTTTCTTAGAAAAAAAAACATTTTCTTTTTTAATGCGAGATGGTATTTTGCATTTTCATTTTTATAGATCTAATCGTAATATTTCTTTGTAATCTCATGCAAAATAATGTTTACATTCGTTCAAGACTTCAATGACTTGATTATGAAGCTTTAATTCAATAAATTATTAATATATGTCAATTTTTTATTAACTTAATTTATCTCTTCAACTTTTCAAGAAGATCTTAAGCCTCTATCATTTTGATAGGTGGAGACAATGGTCTTTTGAAACTTAAAGGAGAATCATCATATATATAATCCAATCTCTCTTCTTTTATTCTCTTTTCATACTCAAAATCATCCTCATCTTATGGTTTTCCATCTTGAGAATTTAGGACTTAAAGCATCATTTTCATTTCCATTTTTTCAATATTCTCTTTTTCTTTGGAAACAAAAGCCTTTTATCTTCCAATACTTTTCTTTCTAGCCTTTAAAGTCGTTTCTTCTTCTTCTTCTTTCATTCTCTTGACTTGTATAGCCGTTTCTTTTTCTTTCATTTTGTTAGCTTCAAGAGTTGTCTTTTTCTTTGCTTGATACATTTTATTCTTAACAACAATCTAAAATTTGAGCCATAAAGCTTAAATAAACATTTTCTTTCATTCTTATTCATTAACAATTGATTCATTCTTGGCCTTTTTTATCAACCAAAACACTCTCTTAAGATCCTAACAAAAGAATTTTGAAGGACCATCTTTCTTGTGTATTTCATAGGCATCGTCACAATTGAAAGGAGTAGATTGCAAAAATAGCCATTTGTTGCTTTGTAAATGTAACATAAGTTGTATAAGGACTTTGATCTACATTGACAACCTCCAAATGTCCTTCATTGTTGCAAAAAAGAAACTTATAATGTACAGTAGAGGAGACAACTTTTATACTATGGATCAATTCTTCACCCAATAAGACATTAAAGTTTGTATGTGAAAATACCATTATGAAGATTGAAGATTGAAGTTTGTAAGCCATGTTTTGCTACCAACTCAAACTTCCAAAACAATCATATTGTTAGAGATTGAAGATTTTTTGCAAAAATTAGACACCATTATGTTGTTAGGAATTAAAGCTTCCAGTCTTACCCCAAATCTCTTCAACATGGATCTTGACAAGGTATTAATAGTAGCATCATTGTTAATTAATACGTTGCTTACCTTATGACATTCAATTACTATTAAATCAAAAATCTTATCTTTAAGAAAATAAATTCGTTAAGTTTTAATGTTGACAAACAAAAGAATTTTCTTAAAGCAAAAGTCGACTTTTTTTTACTGAAATAATACTTTTTTTTAAAAAAAAAATTAACCTAAATAGCAACTATGCAAATTTATTTACACCACTAGCACTGTTTACTATTCAAAATTCAGAACGTCGTTCTGATATTAGAACGGGCCATTTCTGGTATAAAAATAACACATGACAAATGGATCAGAACGGCCCGTTCCGAATTCAAATTTAACACATGAAAAGTGGGACCAAAACGAGTCATGCTGAATCCAGAACGGTCCATTCTGGCCACTTCTAATGAACCGACATATGGAATAATAGACGTGAGCACACATTGATGGGTCATCCAATGCAGTGTCCATTGTTTCACACACGAGAATACATGCAATGGTGCATGGCCAATTCCATCTATTTCCTATTTGTGTCACGACTACTACAATGCAAGCTCCGATATGAAGATTATTGGCTAATAATGACAAGCCTAGATAACCTGCACATCACACTAGGAAGACATGTCCAAATAATGTAGAATTATAATAGTTTATAAGTGACATAGTGCATTAAAAGTAAAAAATGATAACATTAAGATAGAGTGAATTATATAAGTTTTTTAATCTCCGTAATGGTGTCCAGTTCCACAACGAGGACAACGTTTGTTACGACCTAAATTACGCCATGGAGGTTGTTGCTCAAAAGGATTTGGTTCATCATCAAGCACTGGTTGTTGAAATGCTGCTGAAGAACTACCAGGTTCATTAGCGAATTTTGGTTGGTAAAGAGATTGCATTGTAAAGGGAAATAATAAAAAGTCATAAAATTTGTACAGTTGTATTAATTATTAGTTTTCCTTATTTTTAACAGTTGTAATTGTGTCTATATAAGGCACTTTATTCATCTCTTGTAATACGTTCTATTAAGTATCAATATAGAAAAATACTTTTCTCTATTTTCTCTCCTCCAAATAAATTTGTAAAAAAATCCTCTGAAGTTGTTGCAAACGAATGCCTTTTGTCAATTATGTTTTCTTGTGGAGTGATGTTGTGTGGAAGATTTGATACATGCTGATGAGTCTCTTCATACGATCGCATGGAAGTTGTGCCAGTTTCAAATGTTATAGAAGTCCTTCGTTGTTGATAGGTCCTTGGATCTTGTAGTAGTCGTGGCACAGATAGGAAATAGATAGAATTGACCATGTACCATTCCATGTATTCTCGTGTTTGAAACAATGGGTCTTGCATTGGATGACCCATCAATGTGTGCTCACGTCTATTGTTCCATATGTCGGCCCATTAGAAGTGGCCAGAATGGTCCGTTTCGGATTCAGAACGGCCCGTTCTGGTTCCACTTTTCATGTGTTAAATTTGAATTTGAAACGTGTCGTTCTGAATTCAGAACGACCAATTCTGATTCATTTGTCATGTGTTATTTTTACATCTGGAACGACCCGTTCTGATATCAGAATGACTCGTTCTAAACGTGAACAGTAAACAATACTAGTGGTGTAAATAAATTTGCACAATTGCTATTTGGGTAATTTTTTTAAAAAAGTATTATTTCAGTAAAAAAGTCGGAAAAGTCAGCATTACTCAAAAATATAATAAATCAGATGAAATGTGAAAATAATACATATCATCTATAAGATGAAAGAAATTAGATGAAGCATACAGTTCGTCTAACTTACATTAAATGAATAAGATTGACATTGCATTTTCTTTAATGTATTATTTCTTAATAGATCAAACAAAAAGGAACTTCGAAAGTTTTTAAAAAGCATTAATGTGGAAAAAGACAAAATTTTTGTGAGAAGCCAAAAGCACAATCCTAGATATCACGAAAAAGAGACTAAAAAGGATTTCTCTGCACTAGCCCCAACTACTTTGTGTTGACACTCTTTGATGCACTCAAAAGTAAAAGAAAATGATGATAAGTAGATGCTTGGATCAGATAAGAAGTACACGCATCCTGATAAGCATTAATGCTCACATTAAATGCATTAACAATACTTTTTACGATCAAGTAGGAAGACAAAAACGAAGCAACTGATAAAGAAATTTGAACATTTCTACAATGGTAATCTTCCCAAAAGCTATTATATAAAGATCAAGCATTCAAATAGCGAGAAGTGAAGAACATATGTTGTATATACATATACAAAGAAAAAATGTTATTGAAAAATAGATCAATATTTTTTGAACAATTCATCCTGAAAAAAGTCATTAAAATATCAAGCTGAAGCACTACAAAGAAAATCAAATTTTTAAATTCTGTATCTAGACCTTTGTAGTCTTTTTGTGTTGTATTTTTTTATAGCATCATGTCTAAAAGAGACAAAGCTATATTTTTAACTCTTATCGAACTTATTTGTAAGGGTTGAACTTGGAGAAACTTGTGCATAAGAATACTTAATTATTGAGCCTAAAAAGACTTGTGGTAAAAAAATACTTGGGTTTAAGCTTTGAGAGACTTGTTGAAAGAATACTTGGGTTTTAGCCAGAAGTGACTTATAAAGAATACTTGTTGTTTAGCGAGAAGTGGCTTGTAAAGAATACTTGTTGTTTAGCCAGAAGTGGCTTGTAAAAAATACTTATATCTTGGATAAAATAGTGAAACTTAATCTGGTTAGATTGAAAGCTAGATGTAGTCTCTGGATTGAAGACGAACCAATATAAAAATACTTGTGCTATTTCGTCTGCTTCATAACTTTGTTTGATTACTCTCCAGTACTTCATCTATTTGTATTTTTTACTGCCTCACTACAAAAAGCACAAGTTTTTGATATACATTATTCAACTCCATTCTAGTGTGTACCTTTTTCTTCAACAATTAAGATATTAAGTATCAAGGGCTTTAAATGCGCTTTCATTTTCTTGAAAGGAGGATCAAATATTTTAGTATTAAACTTCAGGGTAAGCCAAGAAACTTGTATCACCAAAACAACCTTTGAGTGGTTGGATCATCATAACAATCCTAATGATATCATGCCAAGGGTCCAAGTCCTAAAAAAGTCAAGAGGAGTGAGTTAGACTTGAAAGAAGAATGTCCAAACTCTTGTTGAGCTTTAAGTCACTTTTTAGTAGCTTACTTTCTCTTCTTTGTAAATATTTTTCCTTGTAAGTATTTCTTAATTTTGACCTTGTATTTTTGGGTTAAGTAGTGTAGGAATTCATTTCATTGTAATTAGTATTTTTAGGATGCAATTAGTATTTTAAGAAAGGTGTAACTAGAAAGGGAGATTTGGACTTATTAGGCTAAAATGATCCATGAGAGCATTTGATAGATACCTAGACTTTGAAGTTTGACATCCATTTGTATGGGAGACAAGTGCATCCCTAAGTCACTTATGGAATTAGCACATGCTTTACTATCCAAGTACCAATCCCTCCGACACTCGATTAGAGATTGTCTCCGATTCTGTGCTTTACTCAATTGGTCACATATAATCAATATAGCTCGATTTGACCTTTATACTATAGTCACTTCTTACACATAAGCCTTAACCTTCATATGGATACCACATAAAGTTTAGAGGGGACAACTTAAAACAACAACCTATTCTGGAGCCAACTTACTCACTAAATGGTTAGAATTCGGTTCTTAAAGCACCACAACAAATATATGCACAATGAGATGTTTTATTTTCAAAAACAACTTTACTTCCCTTTATTCTTTATGTATCAGAGTTGAGACATGTATCTTCACCACTTGTCAGCAACTTAAACATCATACACATCAATAACATATACATCAACATACAACAGTTCATCATACAACTCAAAGGTTCATCATTCATATGTATCATCATTAATACAACTCATGCATCAATAATCAAATGAAAACTAGTTCAAAACAACACATTTTCATCATGAAACTTGTGCCTAATGCCAGTTTAGGACTGTCTGACACCATTGAGGTAGAGGGACTTTCTGTTTCGTTTGTGCCTAGCGTTATACCACTTGCACTTGGCATGGGTTAGGCATAAGCCCTAGGGAACTCACGCTTGGTGTGACTCTCCCCACGCCCAACCTTGTACCAACTCGAGACTTCTCACACCCTTCATGTTTAACACTACTCAACCTACATTTAGTGTGATTCCAACTCGAGACGATTTTCTCTCCTTATATTTGGCGCTAATAATCTTGCATTTACATAAACAAAATCAACATGCACTCACAAATTTACAAAAATCATCGGATTTCTCCCATGAACACTTTCAAGAATGGCAAATCAAATCCCTCGAGTTTTTACTCCCCACCTTTCTAACACTAAACATTCTAACTACTCTAGAATCATCTCAACACATTATATATTGTAAGAAATAACCTAAGCTTCCCTTACCTATTGAAGAATCCGAACCTCATCAAAATAACCTAAGCTTCCTTTACCTATTGAAGAATCCGAACTTCGATGAGGTAGGGGAAGAACTTCAGCTCCATTTTCCTACCTCAATCTAGCTACTCTAGGACAATTGCAATGCTGAAGAAATAACAAAGGATTTCTGTTCTAATGGTTTCTCTCCATGTCCTCTCTTTAATCTTTTAGGCGAAGGGTATTATGAGGTGCATAACTACTTACCCCTTTTCTCTTAAAGATCTCTTAATGGGTTGACTCAAGTCTTGGGCTCAGCTAGTCTAGAGACCCACGCAACACCTAGTGTCCTTCTAATCCAACTCTACATTTTTTACTTAAGTCTATATATAACATTCATTATAAAATGAATATAATTAATATAAACCCTAAATAAATTTGCAATACATATAATTCGAGTGCGAAATTACTTGTGATATCCAACTTTGGTAATCTGAGTTCGATTTGTAACATATATAAACATAGATTCCGGACAAAATGGATTTGAAATATAAATTATTAAGAGTCCAATTAAAATCAGTAGGAGTCATATCCAATAAGTAAGAAAAAGCTGTCTCAAAACGTATACACCGCATACGGTCGGTCCCCTTTACCGGTCCACAGCATGTTATACCAGCATACCGTGTCAACTATGTGTCAACTATGCGTCAACAGTCAGCAGTTACATGTTACCAATTACAGTAACTCAATCTAAAATGTGTATATGGCCCATCTTCCACGTGTTGGATGCATAGCAATTATTGCCATACATTATTGTAAAATGAAAGCTGTTACAAATATGAACAAAACTAAAACTAAGGAGAGGTCACAGTGTCTTTTCATATAGCACTATCTCAGTGTGGCAGTGTCCTCAAGCTCCCCAAAAATGAGTTCAAAGAAATCCACTTATTTCTTGGTCATTTTCATGCCTGTGTTGCCTTGCCTTATCGGTTTATGTCACAGTAAATGTGATTTCGAGGCAATTTTTAACTTTGGAGATTCAAATTCAGACACCGGTGGCTTTTGGGCAGCTTTTCCTGCACAATCTGGTCCCTTTGGAATGACTTATTTCAAGAAACCTGTAGGTCGGGCTTCAGATGGGAGACTCATTGTTGATTTTCTTGGTAACACAACAAACTTTATCTTCTTAATAATGAGAGTTTGTTTATTTTCTTTGATTTCATATAATATCCTCCCTTCTGAATTTGGACATTTAAGGAAAGCCAAAAAGGAAAAAGTTGAGGGAAGATTTTGGTTTTGGTTCCTAATATTTTAATTGGAATCGAGGTTTTGGTTCTGCTTTCTTCTTTTTTCCTATTATTTCTGGAAAATGCTAAATGCCACAAAAAGGGTCGCATGAAAATGCGACAAATCAATCTAATTAATTAGTTTTTAATATTTATCCTGCCTTGGTTTTTTAGTCAACTGCCATTTTTATTGTTTTTTATTTTTAAAATAGAACTTGGTGTGAGAAAGACTTCATAAATATAGTAATACTTTTTTTTTCTCTCCATCAATAGAGCCATGGGGATTCCTTAATTATTATAAATGCATTTAGTACACAATGAGCAGGATTTAATCAACCATTTTTGAACTCTCAAGTTGATTTTTCAAATGATCTCGTCATAGTAATTATGTCTATCTCTTTTTTTATTGGCATTAACTTGGGGAACACCTTATCAACATTTATAAATATTTATGAATGGAAGGGAAACACAATTTTCACATGACAACGTCATGTAAAAATTAAACATACATCATTTGGAAACATACATCATAGGGACTGGATTCTCTCTACTGAATTTATTGACTGTGTTTCTTTGATGTGTCATACAATATCACTTCTTATGATTTATATTGCAGGGTGCTAACTGGCAAGATAAGCAAGCTATTGAATAAAAAAAACAAATCGAAAGAAACTGGCAGTCCAAGTTAAATTTGGTGCCTTGATCTTTGGGTATAATATCTGTTTTTAGCTAGGATACCTAAGTATCTTAACAGATTTGACTATTTGAGTAAAAATATCCTAATCTATCATTATTTGCATTAAACCTACATTTTTTCATCTTATTATAAGAACTAAGACTTTGCCTTTATTAAGGTTACACCTTCTTGAGGCAATTTTCCATAGAAGAAAAGACACTTAGTTGGAAAAAGTTGTATAGCTATTAATAAAAAAAGCAGTTGTATAGTATAGCTATGGATAATATATTCTTGATGTCAGTAGCAACTAATAGTGCCACTTTTGATACGTCTTTGGTACCTTGGCGGTACCTGAATCACTTAGTCACTTTCCTAGTCATCAATAATTTCAATTTATTCTGTTTGGGGTCTTAAAAAAGAAAACTCAACACCACCAACTGTTAAAATTGACGATGTATCTCAAATATGTTTTTTTTTTGTCTTCTAATATATTGCCTTCATTAAAGACATGCTTTAATGCTTGAGCTCAATTCTGTGCTTTTTTGTTGCATTTCTTTGGGCAGCTCAAGCTCTTGGGTTGCCATTTTTGAGCCCATATCTGCAATCAATCGGATCTAATTATAACCATGGAGCTAATTATGCTACATTAGCGTCCACTGTGCTTCTACCTAAAACTTCTCTGTTTGTCACTGGGATCAGCCCTTTCTCACTTGCTATACAGCTCAACCAAATGAAGCAATTCAAAACCAAGGTTAATGAAGAGCACCAACAAGGTAAAAAATGCACAAACTTCCTAGTTCCCACTCTATTCTTTAAAAAAAAAGGAGAATTCATTTCTATAGTAATGCACTAGTTTCTTTTGATTGTTCCTCAGGAACCACACTTCCTTCACCGAATATATTTGGAAAATCTCTCTACACATTCTACATTGGACAAAATGATTTTACTTCCAACTTAGCAGCCATTGGCATAGGTGGAGTGCAACAGTACCTCCCTCAAGTTGTTTCCCAAATTGCTGCTACCATTAAGGTGAGATTACCTTAACAGTCAATATCAACTCGAATCTAGAATTAAATTATTGAAATAAATAAAATGTTATTAATTTGTATTGTGCACAATGAAATGTTTAGGAGCTATATAATCTTGGAGGACGTACATTTCTGGTTCTTAATCTTGCACCGGTGGGATGCTATCCTTCATTCTTGGTGGAGCTTCCTCATAACAGTTCAGACATTGATGAATTTGGATGCTTGGTTTCTTACAACAATGCGGTAGTGGAATACAACAACATGTTGAAAGAGACTTTGAGACAAACCAGAGAAAGCCTTTCTGATGCTTCTGTCATTTATGTGGATACTTACACTGTTCTGTTAGAGCTCTTCCGGCATCCCACTTCTCATGGTTCAAGCACTAATCCCTCTACTTTTTTAATAATAAGAACACACTATTATGAATTTATGATACCTAAAAGATACAATATCCTCAATTTGGTTTCTCAAATTAAAGATTATTTTTATCTAATTCAGTACATAAATATTTCAATTCAGCTACTACTAAAGAGTGTGTAAAGCTCATTCCCATTTATGAGAAAGTCACAATTGAAATATAAGAATGGGGACAGGGAGGACTTCATTTATACCCTTAATAATTTGATATCTCATTTAGAAATTTAAAACATTGAATGATATTTCTATGACACCCTTTGACTATTATGAATTACTCGTATTAACATATGCTAAATATACATCCATAATGTCTTAATTATGTTTCTGACTTCATTTTTTCTTGGAAAGGGCTTAAGTATGGTACCAAAGCATGTTGCGGATATGGAGGGGGTGACTACAACTTCGATCCTAAAGCTTACTGTGGAAATACCAAAGAAATAAATGGCAGCACAGTGACAGCAACTGCATGCGATGACCCCTACAACTATGTGAGTTGGGATGGGATCCATGCCACAGAAGCTGCAAACAAGCTTACTACCTTTGCCATTCTTAATGGATCCTACTCTGATCCCCCTTTCCCATTTCAGGAACATTGTGATCTTCAACCTATAGGTTGATCCATTTCTTAATTAACCAATGATGAAGATCAAACTAGGTCAATATGTTACTCAAATAATTTTTACAGGAAATCAAATTTCTTATCTAGCAAAATCTACAACACTTGTATGAGAAAAAAGTTTGTACATGTTTATACGTGTATTAACTTACAATCCAGTCGGTGGTCCTAGTAGAGAAATAAAATGAAGACAAGAATGAAGATAGTTGTCTTATATCATCCTTGAGACCCCAACACGATGAATAAGATTGATATTTGTTTTAACATTTATTTTAAAAGAGGATCCAAGTTAAAAGAAAACAATATATTCTTGTGGACGTCGTAAAAATTTTCATCTCCTTCAAAGAATACCTGGACTCCACTGCCCTAACATTTGGCTGTATTATTAGCGGACTTCTTTGTTCATTCTATTGAATATATGATTATATTATCAGGATAATAATTTTGTTTAAGCACGCCCATCAGAAGCTTTAACCAAGCATCTCAACGTGAGCAAGACTTTTAAATTTTCATGACTCAAAGGTAGTCAAAACAAAAGAAAGTAAAAAAAAAAAAAAAAAAAAAATTAAGGCTGACGACTTGATCTCTGCTGAAGTCTTCCTCTAACTGGAGTCACGTCACATGTTCATAGCCGAAAAACTAATCCCCGAGCACCATTTTTCCATGGCAATCCTTCAGCTCCGTATAATTCAACACTCTCTGTGCACTGTACTTGTTTTTCTTCTTCAGTTCCCCTTACTCGGGTACCAGTACAACGTCCCAGATAAGTATTTTATCAATTGTGGGTCAGACAGCAGTGTTACCGAAAGTGGGAAGGCTTACGTTGGTGAAACTGAATCAAACCTTAAAACCAATTTTAACAGCAGCAACACAGAAAGGAGTGAGTCACCGCCGCTTTCTCCTCTTTACCAAACAGCAAGGATTTTTCGAAAGGACTCTTGGTATGAGTTCAACATCGACCCAACTGGCACTTTCCTGGTACGCCTCCATTTCTACGCTTTCTGTTCCCCTAGTAATCTCTCCTCGGCCAGGTTCAACGTTTCGGTTCCTGCTTTCTGGTTGTTGCGAAATTTCAATGCTACAAATGGTACCAATAACAACTCTGCTTTAGTAAAAGAGTTTTTCATTCATATCACATCCCCCAGCTTCAGAATCACTTTCAGACCTTTGCCATCATCATTTGCGTTTGTCAATGCCATAGAACTCTTCCTACTCCCCCTCCATTTGATCGATGATCGAGTCTCGCGTTTCACTTATAGCGGCAATAACCAAGGCTTAGATGCATACAACAATTTATACTCTCGGGTGTTGGAGACCAAACACAGGCTCAATGTTGGTGGCCAAACTACCAAAGATAGCTTATTGAGAAAATGGATTCCAGATGATACTTATCTCGTTTATCCAGAAAACGCCAAGAATAGTTCCCCTTACCATGATATTAAGTACCGTGTAAGTGATGACTCAGGTGGTCCAAATGCAAATAATTTCACGGCGCCAATTGATGTGTACGGAACTGCTAAAGAGATCAATAATAATTCTGCTGGTGCCGGAGACGCTAAACTTTTAAACATAACATGGCGACTTCCGGTGGAGAAGAACATAGATCATCTCCTTCGGCTTCACTTCTGTGACTATTTCAGTTCACAAATTGATCTTGCATTCTTCAATGTGTCCATTTACGACATCAATGTTATGCCTGTAAATAATGACAAAAACGTGTCTAACGAGTTGCCTGCCCCTTATTATTATGATTTTGTGGTGCACTCTGATGACTCTGGATTTATGAGGGTCAGCGTAACACCTGATGCATCTGCTTACGTTCCTAATGCATTTTTAAACGGG